AAGAACTCTACAAGTATATTGTTGTACTAACACTTTTATTAATAACACTTAGATTAACACGGATATGATCTCCTCCTCTTGGGTTTTTAGTGTAGTGTGGTTATCTATCCTTTATCCTTAGATGTAATCCCCTTCCCTTATATTCTCTTTGTAGTTTTGTAGTCTTATTAAAAAAACAATAAAAAATATTCATCCGGGGATTTAAAAAAAAGATGCTTTGGGTCCCCATTGGGGATAAATGTGGGGTATAAATTATTATTATTATTATTATTATTACTGCTTTAATTAATTTATAGCCCACCCTACCCCAGGAATGGGCTCAGGGCAGCTCACAACATAAAACCAACAAACAAAAACAATAAAACAATAAATAGCAACAGCAAATAACACCAAAACCTATGCCTCATATCAGGCAGGAATAATTACCCCAAAAATTTCCAGTGCCCAAATAACATCCAGAACAACAAAGGCACTGGGAAATGGGTCATGGATAGGGCCATGGACAGGGGGGCTAACATGGTTGAACACCCACCACCTCAACCAAAGGCCTCAAACAGCTCTGTTTTACAAGCCCTGTGAACTGTTAAAGGTCCCACAGGGCCCTGATCTCAAATGGGAACACGTTCCACCAGGCCAGGGAGAGGGCCAAAAAAGCTCTCGCCCTGGATGAGGCTGAGCAAACATCCCTTGGGCTGGGGACCACCAGGAGATATTGATCAGAAGAGCATAAAACTCTCCGGGGCTCATACGGGGAGAGGCGGTCCTAGGCCACATAGAGCTTTAAAGCTCAAAACCATAACCTTGAACCGGATTGGTATTCAATCAGCAGCCAGTGCAGTTGGCGCAACACTAGCTGAATGCACGCCTGTGCAGGCATTGCCATTAGCAGGTATGCTGCTGCATTCTGCACTAGCTCATGGCAAAAATCGTTTCTCATCGATATTAAAGGTGTAGCCACAGTGGTGGTCATGCAAGTCTAACTTCAGTATTTAACATCTGTCACATTGATTGTCTCTAATGCTACAAGAAGCCTTACAATCTGCATTGCACCTGTATGCCTGGAACAAACAGACTTTTAGCAAATTCAAAACCTACATACGTTGTGGTGATGCATCTGCATACAAAGTCAGCATAACACTCATGCTATACTGAGGGGAAGGCAGGTACATGAACATTTTACCTCCCAGAGTTAAACTGCTAGTAGCCTCTCAATGTTATAAAGAATTCCACATAGCATTTTTATATCACAGCAAGACGGTATTACTCCAAGATGGTACAATAACAGCTTAAAAACGGCTTAAAAGGGGTAATGTGAAATTCCCCATTGTAGATAGACAGACAGACATATATATACACACACGGCAGGTCTAATTCTTTGACAAGTTTGACAAGAACTGAAAAGTTACTTACACATCAAAAGCACTAAATTCCAGTGTTAAACGAGCTGGCATACCAGCAGGGTCTCCTGGACAAAAACAAAAGGATCTTTAGAACAGTAGAAGCTATATGACTAAGAAAACATTTCCCCATTTAAAAGTATCACTATCCCTGATAAACATCCCACTATCAGCCCTCTATACTTTCTTTAGTCTCTGACTACCCAGAACTGATTCTAGAATGAAAAACAAGTCTGTGCCAAGCACCATCAAGGTGCTTCCTTGAATTGATGACCTCCCAAATGTCCTATTCTGAACATCCTTCTCAGATCTTGCAAACTGAGGGCCATGACTTCCTTTATTGAGTCAGATTAAGCAATTCCAGAGTTTACCAACCAAACTGACACGTACACCAGTTTTGCCTGTCTTTTTTTTCACTGCAACCTAAGCCTGAAGTTAATGGAGTGCAGTTAAAGTGGGGTCTGCACTGAGAAAATCCACACAGCACCCTAACTTGCAGGCTAATGCTGACCCAGAAGACTTCCGAAACCATATTTAATTGCACACCTGCGTACAATTGCCCACTGAACTCAGTGCGATGTGCTATCAGTTCAGGCTACGCTCAAAATTCAGAAGCAAGCACACGCTGCAATCAAGATCAATCTACGTCGCAAACTACTTTCGGAATTACGAAAACCGGCCCTTACTCTACCGTGATTTAATTCTCTATGCACGCAGATACTAGAATTTCCACGACAATAAAATCCTGGAAAGCAACAAGCTTACTCCATACTTACCATTATAGTAGTATCCCTTGATCGTTTTTGGAGTCTCATCCAACTTGTACTCATTCAGCTTCTTCTGAGTCAGCTCATGCCAAAAGCCCGCATCTAAGGCACTACTAAAAGGAACAAACTGCAGTTTGGGAAGCTCAGTCGCCGGCAAGCTCTGTCTTCCTGCAGCCTGAGCCATTATTTACTTAAATCAGCGCGCGATGATGTCAACCTCGTAAAAGTATGCCGTCAGCTGACAGCTTTCATGAAAAGTATAACGCGGATTAACAATTACCCACAATATCCCAAAGACAACTTCCCTCTTTGCTTCATTTCCCAAACGCCTTGTGATACCGGAAACGGCTTCAGAGAACCGCCATGTTTGTCGCGCCTTCTGCGCAAAATCTGACATGCGCGCACGTCTACGAACCGCTGTAAACAACCAAGAGAGTGGCGAAATATAACTTGGCTTGCAGCCGCTGCCTCCGGTTTCCATTGGAACGTCGCTCCATGAGGGAAAGGATGGCAATGCAGAATGGGGAAAATATCTTTACTGTTCTCCCGGTTTCTCGTGTTTGTATTGTACTTCTACTGCTTCGTATGGGTTTCTCGGCAACTAACTAGAGGTCGAAAGTATTGCTATGAATTATACTGGGATAAATATTTTAGTCTCTCGAATGCCACAGGACTCTTGTTTTATTTTGTTGCCGGCTAATAAGGCTACCCGTCTGTATAATATTGCTGGGTTTGTGACTCCACCTAAGTCAGTAGAGTGGACGGGGAAAGGCTTGTGTGTGCCGCGGCGTGGGGCGTGTCCTGCCATATATTTCTCTTTTTCTCTGCAAGTCCACAGACCAGATCTACACATACACCAGAACGAGGTGGTAGAACGGGTTGCGTTGCTTCAAACTGCAGGGAGACCCTACGTTCAAAACTCCCATCTAAGCATGGGCCGCTCTCCCTGACGTGCTCGCTTTCTACTTCCACAGAGTTTGGCAAGAGCAGTACTCAAACAAAGCATCGCCTCCTTGCTGCCCGAGGTCGTGCAACAACCCGTTCTCCCACCTCAGGCATCCTCCGCAGAATAAACCGCATTCTTGCTGAATCACTCTCCGACTTCTTTGTTAAGCGCACGACTTAACAATCCTGTCCCGGCGGCGGCATTTTTGAAAGGTGGAGGAGGGATCGCATCGGCTGGTTTCATTGCTGCTTCGGGCTTTCCTTCTTCGCAGGCCACCACCAATGCGTCCTTCTCCTCCCAAAGCGTTCTAGTTCGGGGTTTGCCAGGTACCAGCAGCTCAGTAGCACACGCCCGCTGCCATCGCCGCTAATTCTTTCGCGGGCGAGCTTTCAGGAACGTGTAGTGAGCTCGTCCGGAAAGCTACAGGGGGGGGGGGGGGAGTGGCTGCTGGAGGTGACGCCGGGATCCCTGTTTTGAAGCTAGCCGCACAACCTTGGTGTCTGAAACCTGCTGGGCCAACCGATCCCTGCCCTCAACATTGCATCGTGTGGTGCTTCTTTTTTTAAAAAACCGGGCCAGCAGTTTGTATGTACGTAGATAAAACAGCTGCTCACGATGTGATATTTACTTCCCCGCTATTTTAGAGTGTGGGTGTGCAAAGCCTACCGTTTCTGAGGGTGTTTGCCAGAGTAGGCCCTACGTCATAGTCTGAAAAAATATGCTTCCCAGCTCACTCTCCTTAAATTTTGTAACAGTCACCGGATGAAGAGTTCTGATGAGCTCAAAAGTTTGCAGAATGTTTTGTGTTCGTTGGCCCTAATTAAAGGCATTCTATGGGGTTTGTTCTCACTTTGAGGACCATGTTTGCATAGTTATGCACACAAGAGGGCACTATTGGGACGGTTATGAGCTGGAAGAAATCTTGAGGGTTTTTCACTCATTATTTTTCAATTTGCTATTTCTTTCTGTACTGTGTGGTACCTGTGTATTTATTTACTTCACTTCCAGACTGGCTTTCTCACTGAGACTCAAGGCCCTCTCTAAGCATTACCACCGGTATCTCTGAACCATTTTTATGTTAACACTTTCTCCCTCTCCCTGTCAACTTCAGCCTCCATAACATACTCTCTTTCTCATTAACCCTTTTCACATCACATCTGTTATACTTTTCCAGTTCCCCACTCATAGGTCTCTGGCCTGCTATTAGGTATTCCTCTGTCTTTTTTTACATCCTACATAACCCTTTGCACCATTTTTCTCTTTTTCCCTAAAGGCCCTTCAAGGATATTACAATCCTCTCAGAAAAGAAAAGGCTTACCCTGTTTTCAGAAAGGTAACACTGTCTCTCCTGTCAGGCCTCTTTCTGCAGGAAGGGGGTTTCCACCAAGCTGGAGTGACAACTTCTTATGCTGGAATCAGGAACAGGACTCAGGTGATAGATCAAGATGGGTAGCTGTGTTAGTCTGCCTGTAGCAGCAGAAAAGAGGAAAAATCCAGTAGCACCTTAAAGACTAACAAAATGTGTGGCAGGGTATGAGCTTTCATGAGTCACTGCTCACTTCTTCAGATACTTCAGATAAAGTGAGTAGTGACTCACAAAAGCTCATATCCTGCCACACATTTTGTTAGTCTTTAAGGTACTACTAGGACTCAAGTGAGGTTAATCAAGAAAGTACATATTGTAGACTAGCCTGATACCCATGCTTCACTACGGTATTTAACTTCCATAAATCCAGTTATAATTCTGATGATGTAAAGTTTGAAATGTAACATTTGTTGTAGGAATCTAATGGAGAAGATTGTAGTGTAAAAAATGAAGTAAGACATACGTACTTTTCCCCCTCTACTGAAAGACCTCTCTGTAGACTGCTGGGGCGGGCTCCCTCATGGCTTTAAGCACCCTGCAACCGCTGCTGCACCTCACAAACAACTGCCTGTTAGGTGTAGGAGGTGGGGGAAGTGTGTTGGGAGCCATCAGAGAGGCTGGGCCAGCAGCATCACTAAGGTGATCCTGCTGGGGCGGCATCCCTGATGGATTAAAGTACCCTAGTCCTGCTTCTACACCTGACAGACACCCACCTGTCTTGGGGTGTTGGGGGGATTATGTTTAAAGGGATCAGAGAGGCTGGGCCAGCAGCAGGGCTAAGGCAATCTTGCTGAGCAAACCTCCCAGGTAGCTGTAAGCATCCCACCTCCTCTCCTACACCTGACAGGGAGGAGTATTAGAAGCCACTGTGGAGGTGGGGCTGGCAGGCTCCCTCATTGCTTTAAGCACCCTGCAACTGCTGCTGCACCTGACAGACAACTGCCTGTCCAGTGAAGGAGGGGGGAGCATGTTTGAAACCATAGGGAGGCTGGGCCAGCAGCTTTGCTTCACCTCACAGGCGGTTGGCCACACCGGATTTCCTCAACTGTCATTAGCTCTCTGTAGTCCCCTGTAACTGGTTGGGTTTTTTTTAATCTCAGAACACTGAGCTCTGCAGCTGACCACTCAGAGAGTGGGGGGTGCAAGGAGGCAGTAGCCTGGCAGCCGCATAGGAATCAATGGGGGGAGCATATTTTACCCATTTTGACCCCCCCCCATTTTGAGCACCTACGTCATGGTAGGAACAGTCTCCCCAAATTTGGTGTCTCTAGGTCCAGCAGTTTGGCCTGGGCGCTGATTTTACGGTGAGGGGACTTTCTTTATATATGAGAGAGAGATGATGCCCCTAAGGAAGTTGTTTGCAAGCTTTAAAGGCCAAAGTCAACACACAATTCAGTGTGAATTGTAAAGTATTTGGAACACAAGTGAAGTATTTGGAACACTGAGGACATGAACTCTTTCATACCCACCTTCAACAATAAAATGAATTCTACTAATTGGTTCAATTTGAACCAACTGATGTTTTTGAACAAACTTCTGAGGAGCCCCACATAGAGCACATTAGCAGAGCAGAGATCTTGCTACTGTTTTCCATAGCTACCTACCAGTTAAGACAATTATAATGTGTCAACCGATCAATCCAACCTCCCACCAGCATCAATTCAGAATTGTTTCTCAATGGAGAATTAAGGGGTACTATTTAATTACCTGCAAGGTGTCTTGAGTGAAGAGGGACAAATGTGTCTCCTCAATAGATTTTCCTGAAATTCAGTCTCCTTTCAAAACAAGCAGGTCAACTCAAGAAAGTTTGAAGCCTTCTTCAGGCCTAGAGACCTTTCCCCCAACTGAAGTGGTTCATATATATATCATGGAAGATCTTTGATGAGTTTAATCTATTTGTTAATGTGATGTCTTCCTTTTGTCTCGCAAGGATATCTCAGTAAATATCCAGTGAAGTATCCTTCAATCATTTCTTTATACCCAACCCAGTTGCTTCTTGAAAGTGCCTCCTTAACTTACAAGTTTCTAATTTTCCCCCCAGAAGACCCCCACTTGGTAACCTACCCTTTTCTTGTCTATCTGAGACATCTCTGAATTTTAAAATCCACTTTCTTATTATTAAGACTCCCCCTTTTTTGCTTTTAGATATTTTATTTCTTTGCATCTGAGTAGTTCTGTATAACTGAGATGCTTTTTTGTTCCAAATTCTCTAAATTGGTTTCATAATGCTTGGATTTTCAGTGATTATATTTATACTAGAAATAATGCCCGTTGCGGAAACTGAGATGCTTTTTTGTTCCAAATTCTCTAAATTGGTTTCATAATGCTTGGATTTTCAGTGATTATATTTATATATTTCTCCTATCTAAATTTTCTGTTTTTCTCTCATTTTTTTGCCAAAAGCTAAATTTCTCTTTAAATATGTCTTCTATTTTTTCCCCTTCTTGAATCCTTTATCAAGTTTACCAACATCAATTGGAAATATACGCTTATCTTTAAAGATTAGGGCTAAAGTTGTGACAATCAAAGTCATGTCTAGCCTCTGGGAGGCTATTAGCAACCAATCACCACTCAGAAGACCGAGGTGGGGGTGGCGGCGTGGATGATGGTTATACTGCCAGATAGGGCTGAGTAAATAGTAAGATGCAGTTATGAAATCAGAACCTATTTCAAAATTCCTCACAGTGAGGAGGGAATTAGAAGTGCTTTTTGTTTGTTTTATTTTTGGAGAAAGGAAAATCATAAGCTGATTCTGTCAAGGTCTTCATCTGAAGAAGTGAGCAGTGACTCAAAAAACCTCATACCCTACCACAAATTTTGTTAGTCTTTAAGGTGCCGCTGGACTCTTACTCCTTTCTACTGCTACAGACAAACACACACAGCTACCCATCTTGATCAAGCTCTTAGTGAGATACTCTGGCTGAAAACCAGGTTTGAAGGCATCATGGACTGAACATTGTATCTTTTCAATTTGTGTTGTGATGCTCTAAGCCCAGCACTGGTGAACTACTATGCTTTTTACCCCGAGTGAATCAAAATAAAAATTTATTTG